GGCTCTGATGCCAAGGTGCCAGGACCGGCTGATAACCTAGCACACACTGGAAAGGCGTAAGGTTAGTGGAGGAGTGGCGGAGTGAGTTTTGGGCTATCTCTGCCCAGGGAATATATCCTGACCACTCCTCCTGCCGGTCCTGGCAATAGGACCTCAGAAACCTACCCACATCCTGGTTCACTCTCTCCACCTGCCCATTACTCTCGGGGTGAAAACCTGAGGTAAGGCTAATCGAGACCCCCAGACGTTCCATAAACGCCCTCCAGACTCTAGAGGTGAACTGGGGACCCCGATCAGACACTATATCCTCAGGCACCCCGTAGTGCCGGAAGACGTGTGTGAACAGGGCGTCAGCAGTTTGTAGGGCAGTAGGGAGACCTGGCATAGGAATGAGACGGCAGGCCTTCGAAAACCGATCCACAACGACCAAGATCGTCGTGTTCCCCTGGGAGGGGGGGAAGGTCCGTGACAAAATCCACCGTTAGGTGAGACCACGGCCGTTGTGGAACGGGTAGGGGTTGTAACTTCCCTCTGGGCAGGTGTCTAGGCGCCTTACACTGGGCGCACACCGAGCAGGAGGAAACATAAACCCTCACGTCCTTAGCTAAAGTGGGCCACCAGTACTTCCCACTAAGGCAGTGCACTGTCCGACCAATACCAGGATGACCAGAGGAGGGTGACGTGAGCCCAATATATAAATCGATCGCGAACCTCGAGCGGCACGTACTTCCGACCCTCTGGACACTGTGGGGAGTAGGATCGGTACGTAACGCCCGCTCGATGTCCGCATCAACCTCCCACGCCACCAGACAAGACTCCGGGAGTATGGGAGTGGGCTCAATGGACCTCTCCTCTGTGTCATATAGTCGGGACAGGGCTTCTGCCTTAGCGTTCTGTGACCCTGGTCTATAGGTGAGCTTAAATACAAATCGGGAGAAAAACATAGCCCACCTCGCCTGGCGAGGGTTCAGCCTCCTCGCTGCCCGGAAGTACTCCAGGTTACGATGGTCAGTCAGAATGAGAAAAGGGTGTTTAGCCCCCTCAAGCCAATGCCTCCACACCTTCAGTGCTTGAACCACAGCCAACAGCTCCCTGTCCCCCACGTCATAATTGCGCTCCGCCGGACTGAGCTTCTTAGAATAGAAAGCACAGGGGCAGAGTTTTGGTGGCGTACCCGAGCGCTGAGACGGCACAGCACCGATCCCAGCCTCGGACGCATCCACCTCAACTTGGAACGCCAAAGAGGGATCCGGATGTGCCAGCACCGGAACCGAGGTAAACAGGTCCTTCAGATGTCTAAACGCCCTGTCCGCCTCAGCCGACCACTGCAGACGCACCGGACCCCCCTTTAGCAGGGAGGTAATGGGAGCTGCTACCTGTCCAAAGCCCTGGATAAACCTCCGGTAGTAATTGGCAAAACCCAAGAACCGCTGCACTTCCTTCACCGTGGTGGGAGTCTGACCGCGTTTCTGCCGTGCGTAAATGGCAATCTCCATCTCCACCGCTGACGCGGACAACCGATGTCTCAGGAAGGAGATGGACTCCTGGAAGAACAGACATTTCTCCGCCTTCGCATACAGGTCATGCTCTAACAGTCTACCAAGCACTCAACGCACCAGGGACACATGCTCGGCTCGTGTAGCGGAGTAAATTAGAATGTCATCAATATACACCACTACACCCTGTCCATGCAAGTCCCGGAAAATCTCGTCCACAAATGATTGGAAGACTGAAGGAGCATTCATTAAACCGTATGGCATGACGAGGTACTCATAGAGACCCGAGGTGGTACTGAATGCTGTCTTCCACTCATCTCCCTCCCTAATGCGCACCAGGTTGTACGCGCTCCTGAGATCCAATTTTGTGAAGAATCGCGCCCCGTGTAATGACTCCGTCATACTAGCAATCAGAGGGAGAGGATAGCTGTATTTGATTGTGATCTGATTGAGACCACGGTAATCAATACACGGACGTAAACCCCCATCCTTCTTCACAAAAAAGAAACTTGAGGACGCAGGGGAAGTGGACGGCCGTATGTATCCCTGTCTCAGAGATTCGGTGACGTATGTCTCCATAGCCGCCGTCTCCTCCTGAGACAGAGGATACACATGACTACGCGGAAGTGCAGCGCCTACTTGGAGGTCTATCGCACAATCCCCCTGTCGATGAGGTGGTAATTGAGTCGCCTTCTTTTTACAGAAGGCGAGTGCCAAATCGGCATACTCAGGTGGAATGTGCATGGTGGGAACTTGGTTCGGGCTTTCCACCGTCGTTGCCCCTACGGAAACACCTACACACCGCCCGAAACACTGATCAGACCATCCCTTGAGAGCCCTCTGTTGCCATGAAATGTTGGGGTCATGAGATGTTAACCAGGGAAGCCCCAACACCACGGGAAACGCAGGAGAATCAATCAAATACAAACGTAGTATCTCCTCATGGCCCTCCTGCGTTTTCATCCTGAGAGGCGCTGTGACTTCCCTAATCAATCCTGACCCCAAAGGGCGGCTATCTAGGGCATGGATGGGGAAGGGCACATCAACAGGTACAATAGGAATCCCTAACTTATAGGTGAATTAGCGATCAATAACATTCCCAGCTGCGCCTGAATCTACTAGCGCCTTATGCTGGGAGTGAGGAGAAACCTCGGGAAACACAACTTTAATACACATATGCGCAACAGAGAGCTCTGGGTGAGTTGGGTGCCTACTCACCTGGAATGACTCATCAGTGCGCTGCCTACTGCCTCGATTCCTAGGAGACCCTCCCCAGCACCGACCAGCAGTGTGTCCTCTGCGGCCACAGTAGGTGCAGGGGACGGCCTCCCTCCTGGTCTCTCTCCTGGTCTCCCTAGCACCAGCACCTCCGAGCTCCATAGGGGTCGGCTCGGAAGTGCTGGGGGATGGAATGGACGGCCCTGAATCCGGACGTCCGCGGGTAGCCAACAGGGTATCCAGGCGAATGGACATGTCCACCAGTTGGTCGAAGCTGAGGTTGGTGTCCCTGCAGGCCAATTCCCGACGCACATCCTCCCTCAGGCTACATCTGTAGTGGTCGATGAGGGCCCTCTCATTCCATCCCGCGTTGGCAGCCAGCGTCCGGAAGTCCAGTGCGAACTCCTGTGCGCTCCTCCTTCCCTGTCTAAGGTGGAATAGACGCTCACCCGCCGCTTTACCCTCTGGTGGATGATCGAATACTGCCCTGAAGCGGCGGGTGACCTCCGCATAGTTGACAGTAGCGGCGTCTATTCCCCCCCCACTCAGCGTTGGCCCACTCCAGCGCCTTGCCGGACAGACAGGAGATGAGGGCGGACACGCTCTCGTATCCCGAGGGCACCGGGTGGATGGTTGCTAGGTAGAGTTCAACCTGGAGCAGGAAACCCTGACACCCGGCCGCTGTGCCATCATAAGCCCTTCGGGAGCGAGAGTCGAATCCCACTGGACCCCGGAGGTGAAGCGATGGGCATCGCCGATGGTGGTGGTATCGTTGGAGGAGGCGTAGGCAGACCCCCTCTTTCCCATCGCTCAATAGTGCTCACCACCCGTTCCATGGCGGTGCCGAGAGCCTGGATCATGGCCGCTTGGTGTTCGACGCGTTCCTCCATTGATCCAGCTGGCACCGCCGCTCCTGCTGACTCCATGAGTGGTGTGTGATTCTGTCAGGGCGACGTGTATGCTGTGAGCGAAGTCAAGCGCAGGACACCGAGCTACTGGCAGACGAACTTTACTAGCACAGTAATCAAAATGCAAGCAAAACCTCCAAACAGGGAGGAACAAAATACGCATACACCCGAACACTGCCGACATCACGGAAAATAATCACACACAATAACCAATGAGAGACAGGGGGTTATAAAGGGAATACAATGTAACATAATGGGAAACAGGTGAAAACAATCAGGACAAACTAGACAAACACCGAAACATAGATCGGTGGCAGCTAGTACTCCGGGGACGACGAACGCCGAAGCCTGCCCGAGCAAGGAGGAGGGGCAGCCTCGGCTGATTCCGTGACAAGTACTTTGACAACAACTATGCTGCATGGTTTTTCAGTGTCAATCCCCTCAAAATAATTCCCCTTCTCCCTGTAATTATGCGTCTCCTGAAGGCTTTTGACACAATATGTAGGTGTATGAAAAATATATGCATTCACAAAACTGTAAATCGCTCTGGACAAGAGCGTCTGCTAAATGACAAAAATGTAAATGTAAATGTGTTCCCGGGGAAGTCTTATACTTGCATAACAACACCTACCACACAGGTTTACCTTAATATGATTCATATGAAGGTTGTGTTTCCCTGCTCAGACGTTGCATGCATCAGATTACTATAACATATGTTAGCTGATACATAAAATACCTATCCAGACGTTGTAAGATCTGGAATGCGTCAGCAACGTCTGAGCAGAGGAACACAACCAGAATATTTCCCTGGCTTGATTCAGACTTTCACACAAGCACCCAAGGGAGTGACTAGCTTACCCCTTCCCAATTCGCCTTGACTATTATGCTCAGTCAACCTTGGATCCAGGCCAGCACCTAAGTTAGCCCATTACAACCTGACATTGAACATATTTTGAGGGTGGTAACCAGGGAAAACATCCCACTGCCTCCCGCTGTAGGCAATGAAGCTGTTTATTTCCCCCGCTGTAGGCAATGAAGCAGTTTCTCTTCTCAGAGACAAACTTCAGAATCAATTTCTGGAAAGGGCTGTTGGTCTGTGCCAGAGGGGCGCTTAAGTGGAGGCAGATGTGCTCTGGAGAGGGGCACGTCTTTGGCGTGAACACTGGAGGGTGCATGGAAACGATTACCTCGCTGACTGATGACTCATAGGAACATCGCAGCGCCCGAGCCTGAGAATTGTGGGCCTGTTTTTTTTCTCTTTCTCTCTTGTTTGGAGACTGATGACACGTGGCTAATCAAATCTAAATGTCTCGCAAATGCAATGTTGTCAAAGTTTAACTTTTTGTAACGTGGCCCTATTTTGGTATGTGCCCAGGTGATGCTGAAAGCGGCGCCGTCCTTCCTCAACTGTTTCTACCGCCTGGTGGTCTCCATCATGCATGAGGGGAGACAGAAGGGCGAGGCCGAGAGAGGTAAGGCCATCATTTCATGCATTCAATCATTTATTCACTCACATTACCGTATGAAGTGGTGGATGGGTAAGTATTCACCCATTAACTCATAACCTCAAGTGATAGGAATAATAAATAAAAATAAATTGGTCATTTAGCAGACGCTCTTATCCAGAGCGACTTACAGGAGCAATTAGGGTTAAGTGCCTTGCTCAAGGGCACATCGACAGATTTTTCACCTAGTCGGCTCGGGGATTAGAACCAGCGACCTTTCGGTTACTAGTACAACGCTCTTTTGGCATTTACAGGAAGTGTGCTTCGAAAAAGTTATTCAGCAGTTTCTATTTTCCTGCTGGTTCCCATTTAAAGAGCAACCACCCATCGTCATGTGTACTAAATGTATTTTCCAGCATTTAATCATCACACTCCTTGACATTTGACACTGCCTGTTGTTTTAGAAGTTGACATGATATTTAGCCTGGGGTCCTCCCAAGGGAGTCCTCTGTATATACAGTGGGGAAAGAAAGTATTTAGTCAGCCACCAATTGTGCAAGTTCTCCCACTTAAAAAGATGAGAGAGGCCTGTAATTTTCATCATAGGTACACGTCAACTATGACAGACAAATTGAGAAAAACAAATCCAGAAAATCACATTGTAGGATTTTTTATGAATTTATTTGCAAATTATGGTGGAAAATAAGTATTTGGTCACCTACAAACAGGCAAGATTTCTGGCTCTCACAGACCTGTAACTTCTTCTTTAAGAGGCTCCTCTGTCCTCCACTCGTTACCTGTATTAATGGCACCTGTTTGAACTTGTTATCAGTATAAAAGACACCTGTCCACAACCTCAAACAGTCACACTCCAAACTCCACTATGGCCAAGACCAAAGAGCTGTCAAAGGACACCAGAAACAAAATTGTAGACCTGCACCAGGCTGGGAAGACTGAATCTGCAATAGGTAAGCAGCTTGGTTTGAAGAAATCAACTGTGGGAGCAATTATTAGGAAATGGAAGACATACAAGACCACTGATAATCTCCCTCGATCTGGGGCTCCACGCAAGATCTCACCCCGTGGAGTCAAAATGAACACAAGAACGGTGAGAAAAATTCCAGAACCACACGGGGGGACCTAGTGAATGACCTACAGAGAGCTGGGACCAAAGTAACAAAGCCTACCATCAGTAACACACTATGCCGCCAGGGACTCAAATCCTGCAGTGCCAGACGTGTCCCCCTGCTTAAGCCAGTACATGTCCAGGCCCATCTGAAGTTTGCTAGAGTGCATTTGGATGATCCAGAAGAGGATTGGGAGAATGTCATATGGTCAGATGAAACCAAAATATAACTTTTTGGTACAAACTCAACTCGTCGTGTTTGGAGGACAAAGAATGCTGAGTTGCATCCAAAGAACACTATACCTACTGTGAAGCATGGGGGTGGAAACGTCATGCTTTGGGGCTGTTTTTCTGCAAAGGGACCAGGACGACTGATCCGTGTAAAGGAAAGAATGAATGGGGCCATGTATCGTGAGATTTTGAGTGAAAACCTCCTTCCATCAGCAAGGGCATTGAAGATGAAACGTGGCTGGGTCTTTCAGCATGACAATGATCCCAAACACACCGCCCGGGCAACGAAGGAGTGGCTTCGTAAGAAGCATTTCAAGGTCCTGGAGTGGCCTAGCCAGTCTCCAGATCTCAACCCCATAGAAAATCTTTGGAGGGAGTTGAAAGTCTGTGTTCCCCAGCGACAGCCCCAAAACATCACTGCTCTAGAGGAGATCTGCATGGAGGAATGGGCCAAAATACCAGCAACAGTGTGTGAAAACCTTGTGAAAACGTTTGACCTGTGTCATTGCCAACAAAGGGTATATAACAAAGTATTGAGAAACTTTTGTTATTGACCAAATACTTATTTTCCACCATAATTTGCAAATAAATTCATTAAAAGTCCTACAATGTGATTTTCTGGATTTTTTTTTCTCATTTTGTCTGTCATAGTTGACGTGTACCTATGATGAAAATTACAGGCCTCTCTCATCTTTTTAAGTGGGAGAACTTGCACAATTGGTGGCTGACTAAATACATTTTTCCCCCACTGTATGTGCTGTCAGTGTCAAACGACTCCAGCATGCTGTCACCAGGCTAACCAGTCCTGTTAATCGGGCAAGAGTATTTCAGGGCATTGAAGTATGTTATAGGTGAGTCGTATCATGTTATACTATGTAAAAGGTGGTCGTGCCCGCTCCACATTCCCAAGGAGACTCCACATGAAACTGGGCCTATTTTAATCAATGGAGCTCACCCAGTGGAAAGAGAGAAAGAAGAAGAATGCTTTCTCCTTCAGTAATGTTACATTTCTGTTGCTGGTTGTATGCCCTGCTGTCCCTGTGGACTGGATCAAAAACAACATGAGGGAAATCAAAAATTCCCATTGAGGATGACAGAACTTTCGAAGGAGACATGAAAAGCACAGTGCACAGCTGGAGTCCCAGCCAAGCTCGTGGATGGACACCTTTTAAAATCATGTACTGCTAAATGCATCCCTCATGAGTTGAATCAGTGTTGAGGAGCTGTATTCAGCTATGTGATCAGCATATTCAGTGATACATTATGTTTTCCTGTTTATAAAAGGAACAACATAAGACTGCCTTTGTGTTCTCTAATGGGCTAAACTGTTTGTTTTATGCAGACTGTGAGCATAAACATTAGTCTATACACAATTAGAATGGTTAAATGGCTTTTGTTGCTTCATATTCTGCTCTTAGCTATCATGATGGAAGTCTCAGCTTATACAAAACCCTATTCTTATTGTACTGCTCTGTCACAATGCATTCACAATATATTCATTCTCAGCCGCACCCTTGGGATTTGATTCAAATGCTGTGCTTTCATCAGCAATAACCAGCCCACGTCTGTTTCAGTGCACTCTGAACAGTGCACTCTGAACACACACTGTGTTGCATCACTCAAAAGTCACAATTTTTTGAAGTTGTCCCACTTCTGGAGTTCTGGCTGAAATAAATGTTTAGCCCTCAGCGTTTGGCATGGTCTAGTTTTCAAAAAGCTTTCCTCTTCTATTCCCCAGCCCCTGAGACCGATGCGGAGGTGCTTTTGAAGTGTGCTCGTCTAGTGGAACGCATGTACTCCCACATCGCCACCACAGCCGAGGGCTTCACTATCCTCTCCTCCTTCATGGTAGCACAGTACGTCAGCGAGCTACAGAAGGTAAGAACTCTGTTTTTTTCTCATCATCAAGGAAGATGGCCGCGACTTTCGCTCACAGTTTTAAAAGGCGATTAGGCTATTTTATTATTCTTTTGCAGGTTGAAAACATAATGTTTCACTTAAATGGCCTCCAAATCTCCCTTCTCTCCTTTCTCATCCCTCACAAGCCCTTACATCTGAAGGAAATTCCCTATCTGCAAATTGAATACCAGGATTTTAATTTGATCCATTGCTGTTTGTTATTGTGGAGTTACACCATGCTTGGTATTGCATTTAGAGCTGCTAAGGCAAGTCCTCTGGACTTCTCAGATTTGAAGGAAAGAGAAGTCAACATTTCATTTCCGCCATAATCTTGTGTCCCTCCCTGCGCCAACTTGTCCTCTAAAGGACTGTACTTACTGTAGACTCTTTTTCTGTCTGTCTCATTATGTGATGCCGCCTGAGCATATCTGGTACTGTCTCAAACCCACATTTGTTCCTAGGGTCTACGAGACTGCATTCACGTTAAATGACTCATGTGTCAGCATTTTCCATGGAACAGGCAGAGAAAGGGAAGAAAATGTATGCCCTCACTACTGTAAGTCGCTCTGGATAAGAGCGTCTGCTAAATGACTAACATGTCATTTAGCAAACTCTAAGATGCATGAGGATTGATTTGTAATGTAAGAGTCCATGGGAAACTCTTTTAGTAAGGATTAAACAAAGGATTGGTTAAAGCAATAGTTCAACACTACCATGGTTCTTTCCAGGTAAACTAAGCCAAGAAACACACCTCAGTATGTGCCTTGGCATCTCTCTGAGAGGTTTTGTTGAGGCACTGTCTAGTTTCCAGCTGGCAGTACATTATGTTCCTACCAGGCTTTCAGAACTGCCGCAGCTGCGTTCACAAATAAAGGTGTAAGAAAGAGGCAAAACACTGATCAGCCATCTCACTCCTCACACCAACAATATGACGTTTCTGAGTCCATTTTAATACCCCTTGCCCAGCCTCACTCTCAGTCAAATTGAAACCCTCGCCTCCCTTCTTCTCCTTTCCACGCCCTCAAGGTTACTCTACAACCAGACATCAAGACACACCTGACAGAGGGAGTTTACAGGATCCTGGACCTCTGTGTTGAGCAGGACGTGAAGTTTTTGAACACCACCCTCCAGATGGGTGTCAGAGAGGTGTTCAACGAGCTCCATGGCAGTTATACTCATTACCATAAAACCCAGCGGCAAGGAGAGGAGAAATACACTGCCTGACACACTCCTCTACCAGCTTGCTTTCCATAAATACCTTTTCTTTACAAAACAACTGTTTAAACATGTAAATTATGTTTGTATGTTTGTTTAGTAGTGAGAAGGGGGAAAAAAAAGTAATTGACAACAAATCATGTCTCAAGTGTGTTTATTTGAATACCTTGTTTGGTCTTTCTTGTATTGATGGCTAATGTACTGTAACTTTAGACTGTCCAATTTTTGAGATTTGATTAACAGTGCCTTAAAGTATTCATACCCCTTGACTTATTAAAAATTGTTACAGCCTCAATTCAAAATTGATTAAAATGATTATTTTTTTCACCCATCTACACACAATACCCCATAATGACAAAGTGAAAACATGTTTTTTGAAAATAATTCAAATTTCGTAAAAATGAAATGCAGATATGTAATTTACATACAGTGGGGAGAACAAGTATTTGATACACTGCCGATTTTGCAGGTTTTCCTACTTACAAAGCACGTAGAGGTCTGTAATTTTTATCATATGTACACATAAACTGTGAGAGATGGAATCTAAAACAAAAATCCAGAAAATCACATTGTATGATTTTTAAGTAATTAATTTGCATTTTATTGCATGACATAAGTATTTGATACATCAGAAAAGCAGAACTTAATATTTGGTACAGAAACCTTTGTTTGCAATTACAGAGATCGTACGTTTCCTGTAGGTCTTGACCAGGTTTGCACACACTGCAGCAGGGATTTTGGCCCACTCCTCCATACAGACCTTCTCCAGATCCTTCAGGTTTCGGGGCTGTCGCTGGGAAATACGGACTTTCAGCTCCCTCCAAAGATTTTCTATTGGGTTCAGGTCTGGAGATTGGCTAGGCCACTCCAGGACCTTGAGATGCTTGTTACGGAGCCACTCCTTAGTTGCCCTGGCTGTGTGTTTCGGGTCGTTGTCATGCTGGAAGACCCAGCCACGACCCATCTTCAATGCTCTTACTGAGGGAAGGAGGTTGTTGGCCAAGATCTCGCGATACATGGCCCCATCCATCCTCCCCTCAATACGGTGCAGTCGTCCTGTCCCCTTTGCAGAAAAGCATCCCCAAATAATGATGTTTCCACCTCCATGCTTCACGGTTGGGATGGTGTTCTTGAGGTTGTACTCATCCTTCTTCTTCCTCCAAACACGGCGAGTGGAGTGTAGACCAAAAACCTCTATTTTTGTCTCATCAGACCACATGACCCTCTCCCATTCCTCCTCTGGATCATTCAGATGGTCATTGGCAAACTTCAGACGGGCCTGGACATGCGCTGGCTTGAGCAGGGGGACCTTGCGTGCGCTGCAGGATTTTAATCCATGACGGCGTAGTGTGTTACTAATGGTTTTCTTTGAGACTGTGGTCCCAGCTCTCTTCAGGTCATTGACCAGGTCCTGCTGTGTAGTTCTGGGCTGATCCCTCACCTTCCTCATGATCATTGATGCCCCACGAGGTGAGATCTTGCATGGAGTCCCAGACCGAGGGTGATTGACCGTCGTCTTGAACTTCTTCCATTTTCTAATAATTGTGCCAACAGTTGTTGCCTTCTCACCAAGCTGCTTGCCTATTGTCCTGTAGCCCATCCCAGCCTTGTGCAGGTCTACAATTTTATCCCTGATGTCCTTACACAGCTCTCTGGTCTTGGCCATTGTGGAGAGGTTGGAGTCTGTTTGATTGAGTGTGTGGACAGGTGCAGTTAATACAGTTAATGAGTGGAGAACAGGAGGGCTTCTTAAAGAAAAACTAACAGGTCTGTGAGAGCCGGAATTCTTACTGGTTGGTAGGTGATCAAATACTTATGTCATGGAATAAAATGCAAATTAATTACTTAAAAATCATACAATGTGATTTTCTGGATTTTTGTTTTAGATTCCGTCTCTCACAGTTGAAGTGTACCTATGATAAAAATTACAGACCTCTACATGCTTTGTAAGTAGGAAAACCTGCAAAATCGGCAGTGTATCAAATACTTGTTCTCCCCACTGTAAGTATTCACACCCCTGAGTCAATAAATGTTAGAATCACCTTTGGCAGTGATTACAGCTGCGAGTCTTTCTGGGTAAGTCTCTAAGCGCTTTGCACTCCTGGATTGTACAATATATTTAAATTCTTCAAGCTCTGTGAAGTTGGTTGTTGATCATTGCTAGGCAGCCATTTCCAAGTCCAGCCATAGATTTTCAAGCCGATTTAAGTCAAATCTGTAACTAGGTCACTCAGGAACATTCAATGTCGTCTTTGTAAGCAACTTGAGTGTATATTTGGGCTTGTGGTTTAGGTTATTGTCCTGCTGAAAGGTGAATTTGTCTCCCAGTGTCTGTTGGAAAGAAGACTGAACCAGGTTTTCCTCTAGGATTTTGCCTGTGCTTAGCTCAATTCCGTTTCTTTTTATCCTAAAAAACTCACTAGTCCTTGCTGATGACAAGCATACCCATTACATGATGCAGCCTCCACCATGCTTGAAAATATGAAGAGTGGTACTCAGTGACGTGTTGTGTTGGATTTGCCCCAAACATAATGCTTTGTATTCAGGACATAAAGTTTATTTATTTGCCACATTTGTTTGCAGTTTTACTTTAGTGCCTTGTTGCAAACAGGATGCATGTTTTGGAATGTTTTTAGTATGTACAGGCTTCCTTCTTTTCGCTCTCTTTTAGGTTAGCATTGTGGAGTAACTACAATGTTGTTGAGCTATCCTCTGTTTTCTTCCATCACAGCCATTCAACTCTGTAACTGTGTTAAAGTCATTGGCCTCATGGTGAAATCCCTGAGCGGTTTCCTTCCTCTCCGGCAACTGAGCTAGGAAGGACGCCTGCATCCTTGTAGTGACTGGGTGTGTTGATACACCATCCAACGTGTAATTAATTACTTTACCATGCTCAAAGGGATATTCAATGTCTGCTTTTCTTTTTTTTACCCATCTACCAATAGGTTTTCTTCTTTGCAAGGCATTGGAAAACCTCCCTGGTCTTTGTGGTTGAATCTGTGTTTGAAATGCACTGCTCGACTGAGGGACCTTACAGATAATTGTATATGTGTGGGGTACAGAGATGAGGTAGTCATTCAAAAATCATGTTAAACACTATTATTGTCAATGCCACTTATTATGTGACTTGTTAACCCATAAGAGACTAAGCCCTGTCTAAAAAAAATCTAAAGGAAGTTTGTTCTGAATTGTCTGTCCTATATCTGAGAGATCGGGAAACATAAAAAATACATGTATTTAACCCCTTCTTTTTGGCACTAAACTGTCTCCATATATACTTCCATTCATTTTTTCAACTGGTACCTATAGCAAAACAACTGACGCTACAGACGATTGTGTGAGAAGACCGATTCTCGTGATGTCTCATGGTCTGACAACACTACTCTAGCTCTGTCACCTTTCACCGCAGATGCAGAAGTGCGACATAGGTGGATGCGGTGGATTGAGACGCATCCAATGCTAATTAGATTTCGGCGGGGCGCGGACATCAACCTTTTTTTAAAGCACATTTTTACTCCTGAACTTGTTTAAGCATGATATAAAAGGGATTTAATACTTATTGACTCAAGACATTTCAGCTTTTTATTTTAATTCATTTCTGGAAAGAGAATTCCACTTTGACATTATGGGGTATTGTGTGTAGGCCAGTGACACAAAATCTCAATTTAATCCATTTTAAATTCAGGCTGTAACACAACAAAATGTGGAAAAAGTCAAGGGGTGTGAATACTCTGTATGCTTTATCTGGAAACTATGTTTCATATATGAAGAAAAATGAGTAAATTATGACTATACCATTACAATACCAAAAGCAAATTGTGGAAGTGATTTTGTAATGCTTCTAGCTAATTCTGGAAATGGTTTAAACCAGCATATAGAGTGTACAAAACATTAGGAACACCTTCCTTGTATTGAGTTGCACTCCCTTTTGCCCTCAGAACAGCTTCAATTTGTTGGTGTCGAAAGCATTACACAGGGATGCTGGCCCATGTTGATTCCAATGCTTCCCACAGCCATTCTTGACACACACAGGAAACTGTTGAGCGTGAAAAACCTTATCCAGAGCGACTTACAGGAGCAATTAGCATTAAGTGCTTTGCTCAAGGGCACAACAATAGATTTTCACCTTGCTAGCTCGAGGATTCGATCCACCGACCTTTCAGTTACCTATAGCAAAAGATATGCTCTTAACCACTAGGCTACCTGCCGCCCATACACAATCCATGTCTCAATTGTCTCAGGGCTTAAAATCCTTCTTTAACCTGTCTCCTCCCCTTAATCTACACTGATTTGAAGTGGATTTAACAACTTAAGGGACTGACCAGGTGAAAGCTATATCATGGAAAAAGCAGGTGTTCCTAATGTTTTGTACACTTAGAATGTCATTAACATAGCTTTAACACATGCATTCCTTATGAAACCTTGTGCCTAAAACTTTCCCTTGTGATTTGCCATACATTTGTTATTAACTACCAGATGAGGAAACCTTAGGAGATATCTGTATTATATTTGGGGTGGGCTTTCGCAGACGAATAAAGAACATTTATAATTTCACAAATAATGAGCAGTATGACGTAGACAGGGGAATGTCATTATGGAACTACAGTTTTTGAACGTTATCGTTTGCCAAAAGGGCTCCTCAAGCAAGTGTAAATTCTCCAGTAAGACTCAATATATTCATTTTGCAAGTGTTGTTTTCTTTATTTTCTCTTGCCTCTAAGTATTTGTTCCCTCGTGTAATATATGGGACGTTTCTAAGTTTCTCAGGTGTGTGTTATCCACTACTTAAATCCCCTTGAGGTTTCATTTTACATTTTAGTCATTTTAGCAGACGCTCTTATCCAGAGCGCCTTACAGTTAGTGCATTCATCTAAAAATAGCTAGATTGGACAACCACATATCAAAGGCATAGAAAGTACATTTTTCCTCAATAAAGTAGGCATCAGTAGAGTCAGAGCTAGAAAGGGGGGGGGGGGTCAAGGTGAGGAGGAGGATTATTTAAGATACTG